CCTGGCCCAGATTTGGCCTGGCCATTGTGGGCATTTAGGAAGTGAACCAGCAGATCTCTCTCTCTCTCTCTCTCTCTCTCTCTCTCTCTCTCTCTCTCTGTGTTAACTCTCACTTCAAGGAGATGAAAATAAATAAATAAGTAGATATTTTAAAAAACATGACTCATGGGACTGGTGCTGTGGCGCAGCATCCCATGTGGGCACTGGTTTGAGCCCAGGCTCCTCCACTCCGATCCAGCTCTCTGCTATGGCCTGGAAAGCAGTAGAAGATGGCCTAAATGCTTGGGCCCCTGCACCCATGTCAGAGACCTGGAAGAAGATCCTGGCTCCTGGCTTCGGATCAGCACAGCTCTGGCCATCTGGGGACTGAACCAGCAGATGGAAGCTTTTTCTCTCTCTCTCTCTTTCTCTCTGCCTCTCTGTAACTTTGCCTTTCAAATAAATAAGTCTTTTAAAAAATGACTCATACTTTCAAATTTCAAAATTTACTACATAGCTACAATAATAAAAACTATGTGTGGAACTTGCATGAGGATAGAGTAATAGATCCATGGACTAGAACTGAGAGTCCAGAAATAAAACCATACATATTCAGAAACTGATTTTTTGATAAGACCATTCAATGAGGAAAACAGTCTCTACAACAAATATTTCTGGGAAAACTGGTAATTCACATCCAAAATGATGAAGTTGGACTCCCTACCATGTACCACATACAGAAATTAAAATGGAAGAGACATTTGTTCTAACAGTTAAGATGCTGCTTGGGATGCCTGCATCCCATGTTTGAATGCCTGATTCAAGTCCTGGTACTCTACTTCTAATCCAGTTCCTGTTAATGCACACTTTAAGAGGCAGTAAATGGGCCGGCGCCGCGGCTCACTAGGCTAATCCTCCGCCTAGCGGCGCCGGCACACCGGGTTCTAGTCCCGGTCGGGGCGCCGGATTCTGTCCCGGTTGCCCCTCTTCCAGGCCAGCCCTCTGCTGTGGCCAGGGAGTGCAGTGGAGGATGGCCCAGGTGCTTGGGCCCTGCACCCCATGGGAGACCAGGAAAAGCACCTGGCTCCTGGCTCCTGCCATCAGATCAGCGCGGTGCACCGGCCGCAGCGCGCCGGCCGCGGCGGCCATTGGAGGCCTCTGCTGTGGCCAGGGAGTGCAGTGGAGGATGGCCCAGGTGCTTGGGCCCTGCACCCCATGGGAGACCAGGAAAAAGCGCCTGGCTCCTGGCTCCTGCCATCGGATCAGCGCGGTGCGCCGCCCGCAGCGCGCCGGCCGCGGCGGCCATTGGAGGGTGAACCAACGGCAAAGGAAGACCTTTCTCTCTGTCTCTCTCTCTCACTGTCCACTCTGCCTGTCAAAAAAAAAAAAAAAAAAAAAAAAAAAAAAAAAAAGAGGCAGTAAATGATGGCGAGTACTGGGTTCCCTGCCACCCTCATGGAAGAGTTCCAGCTCCTGGCTTTAGCCTGGTCCAGCATTGGCTGTTGTGGGCATTCAAAGAGTGAACCAGCAGATGGAACATCTATCTCCATCTGTCTCTGTCTCTCTCTGCCTTTCAAATAAAATAAAAATAGACAAGTACTTGACTGTTGAGGAACAATTTCTTGGGTTTTGTTGTTGTTTTCTTATTGGAGAATGGGACTGGGAATGAGAGGGAGGAGGAGGTAGAGTGGGAGTGGAGGTGGGAAGGCAGGTATGATGGGAAGAATCACTATATACCTAAGTTGTACTGGTGAAATTTGTACTCATTAAATAAATGGTTTATTTGGGAAAAAAATAGATAAGTAATTATGTTTTTTAAAATTAACTCACAATGAATTTATAAATATAGCTGTATGATCTAAAACTATCAAACACTTAGAATGAAACATCAAGGTAAATTTTAATCACTTCAGATTTGGTAGTAGATTCTTGGATATGGCACAAAAAAAAACAAGCAACAAGAGAAAATATAGGTAAATTGAGCTTCATCACAATTAAAAACTTTTGTGAATCAGAATGTTATTCAGAAAGTGAAATAATAACATACAAAATAGAACAAAATATTCATAAATCATAAATCTGATGAGGGCCTACTTTTCAGAATATATGAAGAACTCTTACAACTCAACAATAAAAGGAGAACCCAATTTGAAAATAAATAGAAATTTCTCCAAAGAAGATGTATCAATGGCCAACAATCACATAAAAAGGTGCTCAACATCATTAGTCATTTGGAAATTACAAATCAAAACCAAATGGGATACCACCTCTAACTGACTAGGATTGTTATAATTTCAAGCAAACAAAAAAGGAAAATTAAAAGAGTTGCTGAAGATTTAAATTGGAACCCTTACTCATTGCTGGTGGAACAGAAAAATGGTGTGGCCACTGTTGAAAACAATTTTGCAGTTTCTCAAAAATTAAACACAGACTTACCACATGACCCAGCAACTGCGCTCCTAGGTACACACTCCCAAAGAACTGACAACAGATACCAAAACAAATACATGTACACAAATGTTCATAGCAGCACAATTCACAATAACCAAAAGATGGGAACACCTCAAATATCCACCAATGGGTGGGATACATATCAAAATGTGATATAATACATACAATGGGATATTATTCTACCATGAAAAGGAATGAAGTTGTGATACATGCTACAATATGGAGAGATCTTGAAAACGTTATGCTAAGTGAAATAGCCAGACACAAAAGGTCACATATTTGGTTTTTACTTATATGAAATATCCAGAATAGGTAAATCCATAAAGACAGAAAGCAGAATTGTGGTTTCCAGGAGATGGGGGAAGGAAGACTGAGGGGTGACTGCTTAATGGTATGGAGTTTTATTTTAGGGAAATTAAATATTTTGGAACCAAATACAGGTGATGGCTGCACAGCATCGGGAATATTCTAAATGCCACTGAATTGTACCCTTTAAATTATTAACATTATGTTAGGCACTTCATCTTGATTTGAGAGAGAGAGAGAGAGAGAGAGAGAGGGGGGGAGGGAGTGGGAGACGGAGAAAGAGAGAGATATGCTGAAGGACCTATCAAAAAATCCTTAGGAGCCGGCGCCGCGGCTCACTAGGCTAATCCTCCGCCTAGCGGCGCCGGCACACCGGGTTCTAGTCCCAGTCGGGGCGCCGGATTCTGTCCCGGTTGCCCCTCTTCCAGGCCAGCTCTCTGCTGTGGCCAGGGAGTGCAGTGGAGGATGGCCCAGGTGCTTGGGCCCTGCACCCCATGGGAGACCAGGAAAAGCACCTGGCTCCTGGCTCCTGCCATCGGATCAGCGCAGTGCGCCGGCCGCAGCGCGCCGGCTGCGGTGGCCATTGGAGGGTGAACCAACGGCAAAGGAAGACCTTTCTCTCTGTCTCTCTCTCTCACTGTCCACTCTGCCTGTCCCAAAAAAAAAAAAAAAAAAAAAAATCCTTAGGAGTAAAAATAGAGAAAAACATCATGAAACAAATAAAACAAAACAAAGCAAGGAGGTATAGAATGAATACAATAATGGAAAATTTATGATAAAGCCACACAGTGAATTATTGTGATGAAGTTAAAAAGGATGAGGCTTAGAAAGAGGTCCAAAACATAACCAAGCAGGAAAAATGCACACTATGGAACAATATATTTAGAAGGGCTTGCATTATGATAAAACCAAAACAAGAAGTCCCAAGGAACAAAATTCTATAAATGTATGTATGTTTTTGTGCTCACTTAGAAAAGAAAAAACAAAACAAAACAAAACAAAAAAAACAGGGAAGACCACACATTGAGCTATTAACAGTGGTTACCTGAGATTGTAATAGTCGGGTGTGTTTAAGTTGTCAGATAACACCTTCAGACAGTGCCTGGCCCATAGTGAATATTTATGTTTCCCATGATCTTTTTGTCTATATAATTTGAATTATGACAAATGAATTTTTACAAAATTTACTTTTTAAAAAAAGTTTATTCATTTATTTATTTGAAAGAGCTAGAACGATATCTCACATCTGCTAGTTCACTCCCCAAATGGCCTCAACAGCCTGGTCTGGGCCAGGATAAAGCCAGGAGCCAAGAATTCCATCCAGGTCTCCCATATGGGCAGCATGTTGCAAGCAGCAGGCTTAACTTGCTGGCTCCCCAGAACTACCTTTAAAATTAAAAACAATTTTTACAGAATGAGACAAAATGAACATGAGCAAATGAAAAAATACAAATTAAAATATTTTCTGCCCATCAGATTGTCAAAAAAAGAGGGATTATAACATTCATTTTGGTGAAAATTTGACAAAACTAGCATACAACAGATGGCACAATTTGTATTGTTGTGTTTAAAATCTGTATGCTTTTAAAATTTGTAATTTTTGATGCAGTAATTCCACTTCAAAAAGTAATCCTAAAGAAATAGTTAAAAAAGAAAAGAAATAGTTGAGAGGTGGTGTTGTGGTGTAGCCAGTTAAGCTACAGCCTTTGATACCAGAATCCCATGTGAGTGGCAGGTCCCGTCCCGGCAGCTCTGCTCCCTAGCCAGCTCCTTGTTAATGCACTTGAGAAGGCAACAGAAAAGGGTGCAAGTGCTTGGGCCCCTGGGAGACCGGAGGGAGTTCCAGGCTCCTGGCTCCCACCTGGGCCAACCCTGCTTGTTGCAAACATTTGGGGAGTGAACCAGCAGATGGAAGATCTTTCTCTGTCTCCTTCTTTGTAACTCTGCCTTTCAAAAAAGTAAATAAATCTTAAAACAGAGAGTTGTCGTGTATACAAAGAGGTATTATTAGGATGCTCACTGCAAACAGTGACAAACTGGAAACAATCCAAATGCCTATCGACGTATTCAATTAGGACACACGCGATATTATGCAATTATGAAACAGAATGAGATAGATAGGCATGCATCAACGTGGAGCATTCTCTACAATGCTGAGCCAAAGACGTCAGCTGCGCTGTGCCAGTTGTCTGTTGACGGTCCCTGTTGGGTACAGCGAATATTAACGTTCCTCCTTCCCCGGCTGAGCCGACGTTAGGACTCACCAGTAGAGGGCGCCGGAGGCACACCTCAGGAGCAGGGCTCCTCTTCCCGGTTCCGGGGTTTATTTTTTTGGCTTGAGGAACACCCGCGGTGCTCGCCTACTGTGGAGCTTCGACAACCTTCCCTAGGGCGTCTTCCCAGTGAGTATCAACAGCAGCGTGTTTCAGAGCCCTAGACGCACCGCAGTCAGTGCGCACAGTCACACGCCGTCCAGAAGACCTGGCAGCCTCAGTGGAGGAGGGGCTCCCGCATATTCTTTCCCCCAGAGACAGTGGCTGCTCCCTGTACTCCTTTAAAAGTTTTCTCTTACCACTAATGATTGTGGTAAACTTTGTCCATTTAATGTGTGGTTTCTGTCTCCTGACTAGAACCTTGGCTGATAAACTATCTCTTAAAAAAAAAAAAAAGCCATATAGATAAACACACAAGGGCCTGTGAATTACACCGCTGGGACGCCAGCTTCTCCTATGGGCGCCCCTTGGGCCTGGCTGCCGCACTTGCCATCCAGCTCCCTGGTTGCGCAGCGGAAGATGGCCGGAGTGGTTTGGCCCCTGCACCCGCGTGGGAGACCCGGATGGAGTTCCTGGTTCCTGGGTTCCGCCAGGCCCAGCCCTGGCCATTGAGACCATTTGCGGAGTGGACCATTGGGTGGAAGATCTTTGTCTCTCTGCCTCTCCATCTCTCCCCTTCAAATAACTAAATAAATCTTGAAAAAAGACACGTGGGGTCAGCGCCGTGAGGTAGTAGGGTAGACCTCCGCCTGCGGCACCGCCATCCCGTATGGGGGCCAGTTCGTGTCTCTGCTGCCCCACTTCCCATCCAGCTTCCTGCTGCTGCACCTGGGAAAGCAGTGTGTTAGTAAAATGGCACTGTCTTATCCGGTGAGATCTACGCCCTGGACATCCTCCTAGGCTCTGGCCCCCGCAGCCACTGCTAGAAGCCAGGTGACCAGATGGCCCAGCCACAAGTGTCAGCTCCACCTCCATACTAAAGGTTCGTGGTTCCTTGCTCCTATTTCCCTGCCCCCTGCAAAGGTCCCGCACACGTGCTCCCTCTCTCCTGATCTCGCTCTCAGCCCACCCCCTCTTTCTTCGTAGCCCCTTCCCTCCCGCCTGTCTCCCCTGTCAATAAACCCTTTCCCTTACTCTGGTGTTTGGTATGTTTTGTGCTGGCCTAACACAGTAGAAGATGGCCCAAGTGGTTAGGCCCCTGTGCCGGTGTGGGAGACGCAGAAGCAGCTCCTGGCTCCTGGCTTCAGATCAGCCCAGCTCTTGTCCTTGCAGCCATTCAGCTGCTTCCATCCAGCAGATGGAAGACCTGTCTGTCCCTCCCTCTCTGTAACACTGCCTCTTAGATAAATAAATAAATCTTTTAGAAAACCAGAAATGATAGTGGAAATGAAGTTAAAAGAAAAGTTTATTTTGGTGCAACTATTTTTGAAATCCCTGCAGAGAACAGGCATAGTATTTAAAAATAAATAAATAAATAAAAAGCCTGCATGAATTTCAAAAATGTATGCACCAAAAGAAACTTCTCTTTTAATTAAAATTTCCACAAACTTCTTGAAGAATCTTCGTATGCACACAGATAGATAGGCCCCCAGATACTTGTGGAAAGGTCTAGATGATTGGAACATACCAAATTATAACAGTGAATATTTTGGGAAAAGGAATAAGATTAAAGGAATGGGATCAGAGGATTTTATCATTTAACCATGAATACTTTTCTTTTTGAATTCTTTATAATAAACAGTAATTTATGGATTACATAATTTGAAACATAGATTATGTATTTTAAAATATATTTGGAAAAAAGTTAACCTAAAACCAGCTTTGGAACAAGAATATTACCTATGCATTCATCAGGTTTTCATTCCAATTTTTAGAAATTAAGATATTAAATGACTGCTTCATGACTGAGGAATGCTCTGTCATTTAATGGTTAGTGTAAAAATGACAAATTTTATGTAGCAGGAACTTGAGTTTATTATAAAATCTCATGAAATGCCAAAAGATTATGGCATTGCTTATTGTGCAGAAATTGAGCACACAGAAAGATGGACAACTCCAAGGTCACAGCACTCACTTCAGAAGTTGGTACTCACAGTATAAAACCATTACTCAAAGCTTTAAATGTTATCTACATTACTTCTCAACTTGAGAGCCTTCAGTAAAGGAGAGTACAGCAGATTAAACCCAAAAGTGTCAGTAGTTGTTAATGCAGTAATTTCTGGCTTTTTGTTCCCCCTCCTCCCTCTCCTCCTAATTGCCTACTCCACAACCTATTGCTACAGTCAAAGCTGTGAAGTCAGCATTCTGTATCTCCTAATTTTGCAAGAAAGTCCAAAATATAAATTTTCTAGAAACTAAAATGCTCTGCAGGATCAAACAGAAGTAATAAGCTTAAAGCATATTTATGTACTGTTCATACATGGTATAGATAATTAGATTTGCCAAAAATGTAAGGAGGTTTAGACTTAAGAAATGGAGTGGTGAATTGGAAAGGGGAGGGGCTCCAATGAGAGAACATAAAGGATGTGGGTATCCTTATGACTTTTTTAAAAAATTTTTTAATTTATTGATTTACTTGAAAGGTAGAGTTACACAGAGAGAGATCTTCTATCTGCTGGTTCGCTCCCCAGATGGCTGCAACAATGCCGGGGCTGGGCCAGGCTGAAGTCAGGAGCCTAGAACATCATCCAGATCTCCCACATGGGTGGCAGGGGCCCAAGTACTTGAGTCATCTGCTACTTTCCCAGGCCGTTAGCAGAGAGCTGGATTGGAAGTGGAACAGCTGGGACTCAAACTGACATCTACATGGGATGCCAGTGTCAAAGACAGTGGCTTAACCTGCTAAGCCACAACACTGGCCTCTTGACACAATTCTTTAAAGCTAACTTGCTAAAGTATTAAAATACTTTATCTGTTAATATTTAAAGAGATATACAGCAACTATATAAATGTGGGGGTACATATTATTTATATGCACCTTTCAAATTATTTTGTAGTCCTGTAAACCACAGCTTATCCTCAAAGTTTCCAGAAATAGAACTAGAACCATTGTTCCCAAGAACCATTCCTCACTGTGCCACATGTATTCCACAGTACATCATATAATTTATGGAATGATTATCAGAAATAAAAATGTTAAGATTTTGATACGCTAATACTTATTATTTCAAATCTAAGTCCAGAGGCAAGCATTTAGTCTAACAGCTAAGATGCTGTGTAAAACACTTGCACCCCAAATTGGAGGGCCAGGGATAGATATTCCAATTCCTGATGCAGACCCTCGGTGGCAGTGGTGATGGCTCAAGTGGTGGAGTTCCTGCCACTCACATAGGAGACCTGAATTGCAGTTCCTAGCCATTTCACCCATCTGGGGAGTTAAAAAGTAGGTGGGAGCTCTTTCCCACTCTGTGTATCTCTCTGCCTCCCAAATATATACAAATTTAAATTATGAAAAATCTAAATTTGGGTAGGAGCCCATGGGCAATTCACACTATTATTCAGTAAGTTTTCGTTGTTAGGCTATAGTGAACTAACCTCACATCAGCATTTTCTATTAGAGATCATGATGAATTAATTATAGAGCAGGAACTGACGTTTTTGCTGACAAAAAGGTAGTCTGAATGAGGACTGCTAAGGAAATGGGCCAGACTTAGGCATGGTGGTTTTCTTGAACACTGAACTAAGGGTAGGTGTTTGGTCCAGCAGTTAAGACACCACTTGAGATGCCTTCATGCTATATTCCAAAGCCTGGCTTGAGTCCTTTTCTACTTTGCTTCTGATCCAGCTTCCTGCTGATGTGCACCCTGGGAGGCAGTAGGTGATGGCTCAAGTAGTTGTGTCCTCGCCATCCTCAAGGGAGACTTGAATTGATTTCCCTGCTCCAGGCTTCAGGCTGGCCCAGCCCTGGCTGTTGTAGGCTTTTAGAGAGTGAAACAGTGAACAGAAAAATTGCTCTTCCTTCTCCCTGTGTGTCTCTCTGCCTTTGAAATAAAACATGAAAATAATTAATTTTAAAAATACCCTCTGTCCCACATAGGGACTGGGAAAAGTGGTGCCCTATATGGAAGTGCCAGTGCAGAGATGAAAGAGTATGTGGTAGTTGATATGCAGCAGCAAGACTGAACCAATCACCAAACTAAAAAGCTGGAGGGAAGCCTCTAGCAATGGCTGTGTGAATAAAAGACGTATTTTCACTTTCATACACCAATTGACACTGTTATTTATGATGTCAGTGATCACCTGAGGTTCTTGTCATGAGCTGCCAAGGATATGGAAGCCTTTTGAGTCCACAAACTCTGTCAGTATTTAGACAGGGCCATAAGCAAAGTGAACGTTCTCCCCTCCCTTCAGAGAAAAGTACATCCTTCTTTGATGGCCCCTTCTTTCCACTGGGATCTCACTCACAGAGATCCTTCATGTAGATCATATTTTGCCACAGTGTCTTGGCTTCCCATGCCTGAAATGCTCTCATGGGCTTTTCAGCCAGATCCAAATGCCTTAAGGGCTGATTCTGAGGTCAGAGTGCTGTTTAGGGCATTTATCATTCTATGAGTTGGCTGTGTGGACTGCTTCCCATGTTGGAACATTCTCTGCTTTTTAATTCTATCTATTGTTATTACCAGACACTTGGTCTTATTTATGTGATCTCTTTGACATTTAATCCTATCCATATGATCAATTACACACTTAATATGATCACTTCAACACGTAAGATGGCATTAGTACCACCCAGCCAATGAGATTTGGAATTCCATGGCAAAGTTTTTACCCTTAGGTGTAAGTCCGTGGGAATATGTGCTGAACTGTGCATCTCCTCCTTCTCTTGTTCCCACTCTTATTTTTTACTGGGATCTATTTTCAATTGGATTTAAACACCTATGAATAACTATATGTTAAGTAAAGAGTTCAATGAATAGTATTAAGTAGAAAAAGAAAATAGTCAAAAAATAAAATAATAAACTGTTCCTCAACAGTCAAGACAAGGGCTGTTCAAGTCATTTCTTTTCATAGTGTCAATTTCACTTCTACAGGTTTCTTTTTAGGTGCTCTGTTAGTTGTCATAGATTAGGGAGAACATATGGTATTTGTCCCTTTGGGACTGGCTTATTTCACTAAGTATGATGTTTTCCAGATT